TTTTTAGTAAAGATCTTGTGGAACCGTGTGTTTTTCTTATAATAAATACGAATAATACAATAATTAATAAATATATAATAATGTAATAAAACTTAAAAAACTTAATTATAATAATTAATCTAGCTTAAACGCAACCACAAAAAGGAGAAAATAAGGAACTAGTGGAAAAAGAGAGTGCAATGAAACTGAAGTGAATAGCAAACACGATAAAACGAGGGAAAGCAGAAGAAATGAGGAAATGCAATGAGAAAAAGTGAATAACAAAAACGATGAAACAGGGGAAAGCAAAAGAAATGAGGTAAAAAAGAATTAGAAGCTGAAAGAAGGAAATTGGAAGAAAAGGAAAGTACGAAGAACGAAAGAAACAAGAGAAACATAAAAGAACAACGGAAGAAGGATAAAAATAATAATAATAATAAGTAAAATCAAACTACTTTTACCTTATATTACAGAGTAAAATATACCCGCGTAGAAAAGAAAAATTTTTTAAAAATTATGCTGCATTTTAATCGTACGTATCCTTCCTCCTTATTACAAATTTATGATACGTGTAATATGAAATGTTTGAGGTAGCTAGAAATGGTGTACAAGGGGCAACGATCTATGAAAAATGCATACTTCACAATTTTTGCAGCATAATAATTCTTTAAATATTTTTTTTACCCCATTGCAGGGTATTAAATAAAAAAACAGGAGATATTAAATAATCTATTAAAACGTGCACATTTCTCACGCGTTGCAAGACTTTAGGAATATTTACGTTGAAATTCATATAAATCCTTAATGTGAACCCACAACCGGTGCATCTACCCTAACAGGGAAAGTGTTCTAACGCGAAGAATGAGAATGCGAACTGCCTTACATTGAAACCTCGGTTACCTGGTTCACCAATAACGGCAGTCTTTGTGGTCCAAATATGTTTCACATGTAATTAGCGGAATCCAACACAGCCCTCATGCGAAACAATGTATGTAAACCCAATTCTGTATTTACGCCGTTTGCACCCAACAATTGTTTGCACCCATTGGGTGTTCCAACCCAATTTTGTATTTATGCTATTTCTCTGGTAGATCCATACCGAAAAGAACCGTGTACAAAAAAAGTGTACATGCGTGTACATGCAAACTCCGTGTTATTTCATACTCTCGAAAGTGTCGCATATTTCTCGATTAAACCTGCATCGCGCAGAAAGTATCTGAAAAGTTACGATCAATGGAAATGAATCGTCCTTAAAATGTAAATCGAAAAACTTGCTCGACTGCGCTGAATCGAATAAGATCGCGTAAAAAAGGAAATCGAATGAAACGAATGACATGAAATCGCGCGAAAAATTGCAGTGTAAAACAGAATTTGGTGTATCGTACAAATTAACACGTTCAGCGCCCGCAATCAACCGCTAAAATTCCCAGAAAGTCAAAGGAACTTAATTAATTAAATCGAAATTAGAAAGTTGAAGTTAATCATAGAGGATGATATTAGAGCTAATTCGCATCCGGAACATCCTAGTCAAATTCAGTTTGTTCGAATATATTACAATGAAAATGAACTTTCAAAATTGGTCGAAAATTAGTGTCGCCCAAATTTGGCCGACGCGGCGCTGAACGTTTTAATAATGTCGAAAGTTGTCGACGTAACCAAGAGAATATAGCTGCCCTATTATTCGAACATTCGCGTCACTCTATCGTATCGAATCCGATTAATCCTTTGCACTCGAAGCGAAATTAAAGCAAAATTTGAAATAGCCTTTCCGTCCCATGGTACAGTAAAGTCTCCGTAATTGACGCTCGGATTGTGCATATAAATGCACAATTTGGGAAAAGGAGATACGATTATTCTTATAGTTATTGATAATCGGTAATTATAAAAAACAAGTCGCAAGGCTCGAATAATCGTATCTCCTCTTCCCAAATTGTCTACTTTAGCGCACAATTCGGGCGACAATTAGGTAGACATTACTGCATTTCCATTTCATGCATAAAATCTACTGCATTTTGAACACACAAAATTGAATTTTGCGACACGTGCAACACATGTTACGCTTTCGACATTTCCTTAAATGTAAACAAAATTTGATTAGTAAAATCATTTCGAAACGTGGCAGTTTTTAATGGCGCCCCGGCGGGCGCCGCTCGAGCGCAAAGGGTTAACTATCGGAACAAAGTACTGCACGTGGGAAGCGACAATCGACGATCGAACGAAAATTGCTCGCGATCTATGCCATCCGGGGATCGCGTGAAAGGGATCCATCGAAGGGAACGCGGAATCCGTGTGTATATGTATGCCTGTGTCTGTGCGCGTGTGCGCGGTGATCGAAGTTGTAACGAAGCAGAGCGCAAAAAGCTCGAGCTGACGTCACGGGGAGACGGCTCGCGTTGCGAGAGAGCAAGAGAGAGAGAGAGAAAGAAAGTAGACGCGGAGAGAGAGAGGGAGAGAAGAAAAAAAATAGAGAACGCCGACGGGTCACGAGGTAAGTCTCGAAAGGTTGTTTATGTGTCGGCACGTGTCCGGCGAGTTCTTTCGAGGGGAAGCAAGCAGCAGAAGGGCGTAGGGCTTGAATACGGCTGCCGGGGAGGGGTGGGCGGACCACGAGGAAGTCCCTGGGACACGTGTACACCGCAGACATCGATCCTGGAAGTTGCTGTTCAAGGTCGCGCGCGGCCCTCCACCCTCGCCGCCCCGTATCAACGACCTCTCGACCCCTCAGGATATCCTAAAGTACGTCAGTAGGCCAACTAACCCTGAACTCTCGTACCGTGTCCCGCGATTACCGTTCTCCGACGGGGTGGGACGCCCTTTTTCGCAACTCGTACGCAGCCCAGTCCTGCTCCGAATTCTTCTTCTTCTTCTTCTCTTCTTCGTCCTCCCGTTCGCGTACGCTCTCTTCTCTCTCTCTCGTATGTGTCGCCGACGCGCCGACTCTCTCGCCCCACCGCGAATTAATTAATCTCCCCCGTTTCGACCGTGTAAAAAACTGTTGAATCACCTCGTTGATTTACGAGCCGGTCGCTGTAACCAGCGACGAGATCCTTGTCCGCCGCGCGCAGAGGATAAGGATCCTCCTCGATCATTCGGCGACGATAACGCCGCCGGAAAATCGTTCTCCGCCGCGCGCGGCGAATTCGGTGCGAATTGAGAGCATAATTGATATATATAGGAATCCTCCTCGATCCTTCGGCGACGATAACGCCGCCGAAAAATCGTTCTCCGACGCGCGCGGCGAATTCGGAGCGAATTGAGAGCATAATTGATATA